ACTCTCCTTCACCCAGGTTTTATACTAAGTTTATGTATTTCTAGGAAATTAAAAAATAACTATGTGTCAAAATTACAACACTACTAGCTCAAAAAGCAAATCCACAGCTACACAGTCCTAAAAGGTTAGCTATCTTGCTAAATGCTAGACTTAGAAAAGATTAAAACAAGGCAAAAAGCAAACAAAATATGGAAAAAATCCAGATAACTGAAACATGTGCTTTCTTATTTATTACGCTTAAATAGTTACCACCTGGCATGGATAGTAGCAGCTGTGAAATTAAGGGGGGGGGGGGGAAAACCCTATCATTTTCTTTTTTCTCTCTAACCCACTGCCCTCAAGTTTAATCGCACTCACAGTGACCCTACAGGATAGAGTAGAATGCCCATAGGGTTTCTAAGGCTGTCATCTTTACAGAAGCAGCTGGTGGGTTCAAACCACTGACCTTTAGGTTAGCAGCCAAATGCTTTAACCACTGTGCATAGCTTGTAAAATAACAGTTGAACTGACCTGATGGCAGCTAGTTAAAGTCAAAGTTATTGAGGAAGAAACCATGAGAATCCCAAGCAGCTGAAGGCCAACTATACCTGAACCAGTATTCATGGTCTAGAACCTCAATGTCTAATAATTTCAGGTCTACTGGACTCTGACCATGTTTCAAAGAACCCCTGGCAAAACCCATAGGAGTCAGGCTAAACACAGCATTCCATGTCAGTTTATTTCACCCTACCCACCAGCTGTCTTGAACAACCAGAGCAAAGTGGAGTGGAGTGGGCCTCCGAAGAGAGCTTCATCCTGATTAGGTCCTACAAGATCAATGTCTGTCTCATCTGACTTGTTTCATCATGGCATTTGGTATCATTTTCTCATGACATTTTCTGAGGGCACTAGTTTTTATAACCTGGAAGCATTTTCTGTGGAAGGAGCAACTGAAGAAACTTGAATGCACCTCCAAAATGACTTGCAGTTTTACCGACCAGATTCTAAGTCAACTGTTGTTTCTGGATCTTCTTTTATTAAAACATTTTTTTTTTAAAAAATAAACTGTCTTCTGAATGGGTATTTTAAGAACAGTAAAGTCACCAATTTTGTGAATCTCGGTTTCAGACGAGTCAACATACAGCAGAATAAAAGGACCGTCTCGACTACCGTTTGCAAAGCGCAGTGTAGTTAAAAATATTCCAGACCATATTCTTTCATGTAATTGAGGGCATAAATAATAAACTGTCTCCCAATAAGAGATAAAAATTCAGAAACAAATTATAAGTCTGAAACATAGTATTAAAGAAAAGAAGCCTATTTTGTGAGTGCCCAAATAATTCTTCCTTTGCACATGGCGACACAAAGGCATTTCAGCTTTCAGGTTCCAACAAACCCTGCTGGAACAACAACGCCCTCCCTTCCCCGCCTCTCCGTTCTTAATTCTCCCACAGCTCGAAAAATGAGATGGAGAACCTGGTATTTATCTTCTCGCACCATCAGCAGTTTCTCCCCCGTGGACGTCTACGCTGCTCTTTATTTGCTGTCTGCAAGTTAACTTGTTGGAGTTTCGTCTCCAAGAATCGGGGTCTTTGCAATGATCCTCATGCATCTGCTTTCTCTTCCTCATACCGTCCTGAGGTTCATGTGAAGACGGCTGACAGAAGGGGTTAAGGCCACTGACAAAAGGTATGGAAAATGAGATGCTTCTATAAGGCGCAGAGAACTAAGTAAAGATTTTAAGTAGTGTTTAGTTTGAATGATAAGTTGTAAATCTGTTTTAAATACTGATTTTATCTAAATCTTGTCTGAAACTCTGACTTTGCATTTTAATGAAATCTAGTTCAGACCTTCTACTGGCAAACAGTTCATCAGTTGAACACCCCCATGTTCTGCTCTGGGTGTTGGGAGGAACCAGGAGGGGCTCTCTACTCAGGACCACGCTTGTACGTGACAGCCCTTTGCGTCTGCTGGCTTTCAGTACTTCTCTATTACCAACCACCACAGTGAAACAAAGTCTGCCTTTCTTCTCTGACACAGAGAAACTGGAAGGAACAGGCCACAACACTGTATTGTGCTCATGGCTGGAGAGAGAAAAAAGATCTCACAGCAACACACCTACAATGTCAGTCTCTTTTTATTTTTTCTTTTTAAGAAAAGACCAGCTAGCAATATAGCTGCAATCTCAGTCTACTTCCACCAAAGGAACAGAGCCGTGACCTTCATTTTGGGGAACAAATTCCTCCCGGCTAAGTCTTCTGTGCATGGCAAGTTCAGTACTCAGCAGTCAGCGCTATGCTTACTGCATGCAGTATCACGGTGTTGATCCCGAGTGTGGCTGGCTGTAATTTATCACTGCCAGTACTTGTTAATTATGATGAACATGCTCTCTGAAAGTCTAAATGATACTGAAATATATAAAACGTACTGGCTCATGGGAAGAAGAGGGTTATAATTGGGGAGCCGAGCATAGTTTGATCAACGTATAAAGGTTACTCAACCAAAAGAAAAAGAGAGAGAGAGAAAAAGAGAGAGAGCGAGGGAAGGAGCTGGTGCTAGAGGCTGTTAAGGGCAGTCCCAGCTGGAAGCAGCCCTGAACTGAAAACACGCGGGTCGCTAGGCACTGAGCGAGCTGGCTGCGTCTCAACTGCCCGCCAATCCAAAGCAAACTCACTGCCGTAGAATCGGATCCGACTCAGAGAGACCCCTCCTCGGGTTTCCGAAGCGGTATCACTACAGAAGTAGATTGCTCAACCTTCCTTCTGAGGAGTGGCTGGTGGGTTTGAACCACCAGCCTTCTGGTGAGCAGTCAAGTGCCTTAGGCACTGTGCCACCGGAGTTCCTCAACTGCTCACACCCCACACTTAAAAACAACTACTGTAAACTGCAAACAAGGGTTTGATTTTTTTCTAGAAACTTTATCTTGGTCTGAGGTATGAAAAGAAATCTAGAAAACAAAAGAGAAGTACACTGTGTAAAAGTGAGCATTTCCTAAGCGTGCTGGTGTTCACAACACGTCTGACTCTTAAGATCATGAAAAATAAAAGAATGTAATCCAGACTGTCCATGGTTTAGCTTCTTAGAAAACCAACGTTTGTACCTCTGGACAGTTCATCCTTTTAATACAGATATGAATTAACATGCCTGTGGATATTTAATGAAAGCCAGGCATCACCTTCTTGATGAACAACATGCCCCATTAATACCACAGTGTGTGTGTGGTTTTCCTGGGGAGGAAGGAGTGAGTCAAGTATGCCTTCTGCCGCCATATACAGCATCTTCCCTGCTCTGTGCGACTCCCCTGGGATGCACACAGGGGAAGTTTTCACCAGGAACCACTGGGGTCAAAGGAAAAGGATGCAGGATGCAATGAGACAGGAAGAGACAGCCAATGTGCTGCGAAGACCTGGGTGATGTACTACCTAAACCCCCAAGCCCCAAGGATGTACCAAAGGCTTCCTGCAGCTCTAACGATGGGCAAGACTGTATCAAAGGTTTCCATCAGCTCTAAGATCCCAGGAAAATAAATCAGCCTAAGAAGGAAGAGTACAAAGAAAAGAGTCCAAATGTCATTAAATATTGTCACATAATATAAAAAAATAAAAATAGGAATAACAGTGCCAACTAGAATTTATCAAGTGCTTTCTGTGGGTTAGATATTATTTTAAGCCCTTCCGATGCATAAACCTATTAATCTGGGACAGTTGCTATCATCTTCCTCATTTTACAGAAGCAAACGCTGAGGTGCAGCATAGAGAGAGAGGTTGGGTAAGGCCCAGATCTGACCCAGGAGTTCTGGATTCTGAGTCCATCTGCCTTTCAGGAAGGATCCGTGGATCATGACAGAGCCCTCCCAGAGCACCTGGAAATGAATTCAGAATTACACAATAGCCAGTGCTGCCATATCCCGGCAGCAACCACCACGCTCTCAAACAAGGCACCGAGGACCAGCAGACAGACAGGCGAGGCGGCTGCCTCAAACCCAGCAAGCCAGCGCCAACAGGCAGGCAGTGCCACCGTTTCCCTTCTCGTCAAACAGGAAAAGAAAAGAAGGCATGGACTCTCTCTGGTATCCTTTCACATACAACGATGTGGTTGTTCCTGGTGGGCATTTTTCAAGACTGGACGTCACTACCTCCCAATCTTTTGGAGTGCTCCTTTCTGCAGTAGACGACGTCATGTTCGGATCAGGGGACGATTCTGATCCCAACTGGAAAGGATCTCGTGGTTTCAGGAGCAAAGACAGTGGCCTAATGCAGTTTTGTGCCTGAAATGAAGTAAGCACGGGACTAGGCAAGGATTTCGCAAATGATCATCAACCGGAAATGGGGGCAAATCATCCCAGTGGCTCCACCCCTCCTCTCCTGCTGGAACGGAAGTTGATTGCCCAATCGTCCTTCCAACGAACGAGTGGCTAGTGGGTTTGAACCACCAGCCTTCTGGTTAGCAGTCAAATGCCTTAGGCATTAGGCCACCAGAGCTCTGGGCACTTAATCAGTACTTGTGTATCAAAACTATTTTCTGAATACCTAAGACTTTTGTGGTTACATGTGTAAATCAGTTCTGAAAGGATGTCTGAACTATCCTTCCTAATTAAAACTAATTTTTAAGATTCATAATCAAATCCTACAGCTGGAATTTGACGTTTGTAAATCTAACAAACGAGGTTGGTGGCAGCTTTGGCGGTAACCTGGCACACCCTGAATACAGTGGGAAGCTCTCCTCTTTGGGGGCTGTCTAGGACGGTGCATCCACAGTCCCCCAGCAGGACAGGGTGTGGGGTCTGAGCACGTGGGGGGGGCTTGCCCGGAGGCCTCCCACCTGTGGGGTCCAGCTCCAGCTGCTTCTCTCCCAGCCCCGGCCCGGGCTGCTGCAGGGTGGGGTGGGGAAGACTGCACTGCCTCCTTCCCTTCCCGCAAGCCTCATTTTGCCCTCTTTCCCCAGCCTCTGAACTTCCATCTCGCCTGCGCTGTGACTGAGAGCCATCCTCAGTGAGCACGGGGTTGGCCTGGGCCCACGCCATGGCCTCGGCGGGGCTCCAGCTCTTCGCTTTCGGCGTGGCCTTGTCCGGGGCCTCGGGGCTGCTCACGGCCACGCTGCTGCCCAGCTGGAAGGTGCGAACGGACGAGGGCGCCAGCATCATCACGGCCATCAAGCAGCTGCAGGGCCTGTGGATGGACTGCACGTGGTACAGCACCGGCATGTTCAGCTGCACGCTCAAGTACTCGCTTCTGGCCCTGCCCGCCCCCGTGCAGGCGGCCCGGGCCACCATGGTTCTGGCGTGCATCCTGTCAGCCTTGGGGATCTGCACCTCCACAGTGGGCATGACGTGCACTCGCTTAGGGGGCGACAGAAAAACCAAGAGTCACGCGTCTGCCGTGGGCGGCATCTGCCTCCTGTCCGCGGGGATCTCTGGGCTGATACCCACGGTGTGGTTCACCAAGGAGAGCATCGCTGACTTCATGGACCAGACGGTGCCTGAGCGCGACAAACACGAGCCGGGAGGCGCGGTCTACGTGGGCTTCCTCTCGGCGGTGCTGCTCTTCATCGCTGGCGTGATCTTCTGCACGTCCTGTGTCCGGAAGGGTCCGGAAGCTCGGCCCTGCCCACCCGAGCAGAACCGTCTCTCCGGCCCACAGCTGGCGGACACTCGCACACCCCCCCTTAAGGATTACGTGTAGACACGGCCTGCTGCTCGGGGCCTGCTGCTGGAGGCTCGGGGCCTGCCGCTCGGGGCTCGGGGCCTGCCGCATGGGGCTCGGGGCCTGCTGGGATTTCTGATCTGATTTTATTTCAGTCTTTTTTGGGTCCGATTTTATTTTAGATGAAAATAAAAAAGAAAACGAAAATTAGGCTTAACTCTCTCTACAACGTGCAAAAGACTTAAAAAACCCCAAAGTAGTTTAAAATCCTGACAAAACTATCTTGTACAATTACAACTATGTATGTCTTAAGATTTCTTTTTTTCATTAGTGTTTTCAGGTTTTGTTTAAAGGTTTATCATTGAAACAAACTTTGTATTAGTAAGGAAACTAATGACTTTTTTTTCCCCTTTTTAAAATGATGGGGGTACATCATCCAAATCGGTACTTAACTGGACTTAGGACTAAACTGCCAAGTGTCAAAAAAAAGTACCTTGCCCTAGTGTTAATCAAGAATTGCATCCACTTTTGCTACTGGCTTAGCAAACACCTTAGTAACTGGGTTTTGTTTAAAGCTACCTTGTGGGAGAGCACGTTAGGAACAAAAGAGCTGTTCAACCTATTCAGATATTGCCAAAACCACCCATCCAAGCGTCATCTGCTGTGACCTGCCTCTCTTTCATCTTAAAAAAAATGTCCACATACATTTGCAGAAGCCAATGATATTACATTCAAGCTAAGATTAAGGCAGAACTAAGGAAAAGAAAAGCAACTCTGGTGGCACAGCGGTTAAGGCATTTGGCTGCTAACCGAAAGCACTCTACAGGAGAAAGATGAGGCAGTCTGCTTCTGTCAAGATTTACAGCATTGAAAACCCTGTGTGGCAGTTCTACTCTGTCCTGTGGGGTCATTATGAGATGGAATTGACTCAATGGCAGGGGTATTTTCAGGAAAAGAAATTGGTAAATGCTACTACAGCAAAGGAAAACCAACCCAAACACAAACTACAATTTCTAGGGCTCTTAAAACATTAAGTACAAGTTAAACAATAATAATAAAAGAAGTTTGTTGGTTTTAAGATGCCAAACAATTTCCCGTTCACGCCTACAAAAGCTCTCCAGACTAAGTTCATTCCTCCTACAGTATTTTGGATTTCCCCTCTCTCATTTAATCTGTCATTTATTAGTATTTGGATAATAAAGTTTACTTTTGTTATTTTTTCTCAAATGTGGTTCAAGTTAACAAGTATATTGTTGTTCTCTTATAGATCAACCCTTCAATTAGTTAATAATGGATGTGCAAATAATTTTCAAAGTATAATGATTCTAAAAATATAAGTTAAATTATCTTACACAACTTAAATTTGTTAATAAGTGAAAAGTGGCTTTTCTAATGTGCAAGGGAAACACTACACACTTTTGTTTCTAATTTATTTACTAATTTAAGTTCAGTCACGTAAAGTGTGGGGGGGGGCAGCATTCTGCACATTAATAAACTCAGGAAGTGGGACCAATCTGCGTTATGTGAGAAAATAATTCTCCTTCATGTATAGAGAGCAGAGATCAGACTCCTTCATACCTATTTTCCGTGGTAGATTATCATTCTCTTCTGCAATGATGCCATTAGCTATTAATGGGAAGAGCTGAAATGAAATGGCAGTATTACCTATGCAAATCAGGAAGGGAGTCATTTCAGCAGATGTTTAAAGGACCATTTAAAGTATGCATTGCTTTTGAGTGGCCAAAATATTATTTCCTAAAGTAATGTGTCATTAAAACGAACTCTTAAAAATAATACTTGTGTGATAGGCTTGTTTTGCCATCTATAAGGTCATCTCACTTTGCCTAGTGTGACTGGAGTTACATGCAGTCTATGTAACTAGCAGTCCTGTATTTAAAAGTTTACTTTATATGTGCCAAGAGCTCTGGGGGTGCTGTGGTTAGAACACTGGGCTGCTAACCAAAAGGTTGGCGGCTGGAACCCACCAGCCGTTTTGCAGGAGAAAGATGAAGCACTCTGCTTCTGTGAAGATTTACAGCCTTGGAAACCCTGTGGGGCAGTTCTATCCTGTCCTGAAGGGTCACTATGAATTGGATCGACTTGACAGCCGTGGGCTTGGTTTTTTAGTTTTATGTGTGCTGAGGACAGTCTTCTATATAATACAAAATATGATTTTGATTAAGTGCCAGAACATTTTCTTCCTAAATAGATATGAGAATGTTTTAAACTCTCAGAAAAACAGTTGTTTCCTGTGAGTCAATGGCATAATCCTCTCTAGACTGGAAACAGCATGATGAAAAGGCGTGAAGTCCTTCCATCCCTACCTGGATCCACCTGCTTCCTCCACCTGGATCCTCCGGGCCCACCCTCTTCCTGCCAAGCTCCTAGGCATCCCTTAGAGCTCAGATGGCACCTCCTTTATGAGCTCAGCCTTGACTTCTCAAAGAGACTGCTGCATCTGACAGAATGACTGGTTTACAGAGGCTCCAGCTAGACCGGGAAACAGGTCTTGTTCTCACCGTTGTGTTCTCAGTGACTTGCAATGACACCATCCCTGGTCTCCATTGTGTTCACATATCAACTCATTTAAACCTCAGGACAATGCTAGGAGCAGGATCTGTTTTTGGCAGGGAACTGAAACAGAGAGAAGGTTAAAGAAAGGACCTAACTTGCCCAGGTCTCACAGCCAGCCAGCGGGGAGGGAGGATTCAACCTGTGGCCTGGTTCCAGAGTCAAACACCTAGGTGCCAGTCACAGCCTGGATTACTGTGTGACCTGATATAATAACTACTTAATCTCTCTGAGCCTTGCTCATGTGGAAATGAGGATAGAAACAACACTATTCATGGTTGTTGAAAGGACTGAATGAAGTAATACACACAAGGCAGTCGGTGCATGCTAAGTACATAATGAGCGTTGTCCAACACTTCTTAGTCGATGCCAGTGGATTTCAACAGGGGGCAATGTCTAAATATTCACTTTTCTTTGATTAAAAAGTTACCAGAACAGGAATCAAGAAGACAGCACAGAATAGGTTGGTTCATTCCCCTACAGAACAGACCCACATGTATGTATATTTTTAATGGTACAGGTCATCCAGTAACTCTAGCACAAATGAAGAAGACCTTCATTAAGGCAAGAAAAGTGAGTGTAAGAAAGGGATGGATGTAAGAGAAATGGAGGTGATTAGTGAGAGAGGCTGATGACTAGTGACTAGTTCTACAGGTAAAGGGAAGGGGGCCAGGCTGCATAAAATGACCTCCAGGTTCAGGCTTGAGTGACGTGGCAGATGACGATGCCATTAAGCAGTAGACTGAACAGACAGGGAGGAGCAGGCCTGGGGAGACAGACAGACATTCCGTTTGGGACGTGCTTTTAATGTTGTCTCGTTACCTTTCTTTTATCACTCTACTTCAGCCGTATGTCTTTAACACATACTAACTTCACTGACTTTGGAGGATTTATATCCCAGCCTGTAATTCTGCAGAACCCTGTCCTATACCTCATTACTTCCAATAACTTTTTTGTTCATTTCATTGCCCTTTATCCATATATAAAAATGTCATCTGCAAGAATAAATTTTGATTCTTCTTTTCCTTGATTTATACTTACCCCATATTTTTTCTTACAGCAGTTATAGTAAGCATAAGTACTATTAGATTATACTAGTAAATACCCTTACCTCCACCCAACACTTACTTTATTCTGGTTTTAAGGAGCGTGACTCTTTGCTACTTCTCAATCATGAGTTTTTGTTTACACATTTATTTTAGACCCACCCACTTTCAAAAAGAATTGGAGGCAACTGACAATAAAACTTTAGGTTTAATAAATATAAAAACAACACTGACACAGAAAATAGGCTCAAATAACAAAGAAAAGGAAGAGGAAAAAAAAAGCCCTCCAATAGTCCTGCTTGTAGGATGCTACAGTAATTAACTAGGGAATTAAGTCAGAACTTCCAAACAACTAAGGCAGAAGACCACATGAGGTACGTTACAGGTTTGTGATGGGTAGGAGCCCATGGCAGATTCTACTGGTGCCTTGCCCAAGCGCCACCCACCTGCAGGCCAATGTACCAGCTGCCGGGTGTTGAGTGCTGACAGCTCCCACACCTGGAGCTACCTTACTGGGAAGTTGGGCCCCACTGCTCTCCAGGAGGCAGCCAGCAGCCAAAGACTGAGCGACACAGGACAGACTGACTACAACAGGCCAGCCGCCTGCCTCGAGGTAGGACTGCTCTGAGGGGCCACCTGTGCCCCAGGGCTCCCTCCCCCTCTCCCATGGGACCAGGCAGAAGCTAGTCTCCAGGGGAAATACTGCCCTTGCTCGCTTCCCTCCCTGCCCGTCCAGTCCGGCCTCCCTCACTCCGGCCCCTTCTCCTGAGAGCGCTTCTCAAGACGTCACTTTCATAAAATCCTTCCCAATCTCTGGTTCTAAGAGCTCTGGTGGCATAGTGCCTAAGGTACTTGACTGCTAACCAGAAGGCTGGCAGTTCAAACCCACCAGTCACTCCTCAGAAGGAAGGTTGGGCAATCTACTTCCATAGAGATACGGGCTGGGAAACCCAAGGAGGGATCACTATGAGTGGGATCGAACCCGATGGCAGTGAGTTTGTTTTTTTGTTTTTGATATTAGATGCTTGGGTGGGAATATGCAAATGTGAGGTGCCCTTGAACTACAAAGCAACTGACAGCTTGCTAATAACATAACTAAGGTGCAGGGCAATGTTGTGGGGGGTGGGGCCATGCAAATAAGGTATATGGGACCTTAACATGGGGACTGGTCAGTTTTGCCACCCTGCTAGGCTTAAAATGTGCCATCCCAGAGGTGGAAAGGGGGATCTTGCTATCACAAGAAGAGATGGGAGAGGAGTGCAACCTTTAGGTCCAGGCTCCCTGTGCTGGGAACCTTATTGACCCGAGAGGCAGTGACAGACAGGGAGAAGGAGGGGCGGAGAAGCAGACACAACAGAACCAAGAGACGACAGGAGACAGCACGCCTGGTGGGCTTCTGGACCCACCGAGCAACAAAGCCGAGCACCTGCTGCGGCTGAGCTCGCCGGCCGAGGGGGGTGCACGAGCTTTTTAACAGTTGCCCAGGCAGGGCAGCGAGGGCGAGAGAGAGGCCTGCGTGCCTGTAAGCACATGGTGGAGGAGAGGCTGTCCTGGTCAAAGAAATGTATCCTGAGTTTATGATCATGAAATCTAACG